AGTACACCGCCCTGGGGGCAACCTCTAGCCACCACTCCTCTAGTCACTTCGCTCACAGTGAATTGAATAGCTCTATATCTTAGCATGCTATCGATCCACCCTGAGATTGTGGAATCAACACCATGCCTAGATAGAGCTTGGCTAATGCTGGTGAAGTTGGTCTTGTCAAAGGCTCCCTCGATATCGATAAAGGTAGCCAGTGTTGACCTTTTGTGATTTAGATTGTCTTCTATATATGAAACAACTCGATGTAGGGCAGATTCTGTTGATTTACCCATCGAGTATGCGTGTTGATTGAGGTGTAGAGGGTGACTGACTAACGCAGTTTCCCTGATTTCCCTATCTATTAGCCTCTCGAGAACCTTTAGTAGAAAAGATGTGAGACTAATAGGTCGGTGTGATTTGGGTTGTGTGTAGTCACCTTTACCAGGTTTGGGGATGAAGACTACTTTGACTTCTCTCCATTTCAAGGGGATGTACTGATGCGCCAGGCAGCCCCTATAAATTTTTACAAGATGGTCCAGTAGTGTCATATCACACCATCTCAGTAGGCCTGGGAAGACACCATCTAGTCCTGGCGCCTTGAATGGTAGGAAGCTGTTAATTGCCCATCTTAGTTTGTCATGATTGACAACTTTGCGGGCCGTATCCCAGTCTGTATCATCTGGTGGTTTTTCCCATCTGTCTTCCCATTTTTCCATCACATCTGAAATGCGACATCCAGGGAAGTGTGTTTTTAATAACAGCTCTGAGGCTTCCGAGTCTGTTTTGGTATACTCACCATCAGGCTTCTTCAGTGAGCCAAGATTGTGATCGCCTCTACTACACAGTATGCTTTTGACTCTATTAGCCTGGTTGTTGTTTTCTATGTTAGTACAGAAGTTTCTCCAGCACTCAGTTTTCCTGGTTCTGATTCTCTTCTTATATTGTTGTCGGGCCTGCGTGTAGGCATCCCAATGTTGGTCTAATCGCGAGTTTTTTGCTTTATTGAACAACTTTCTCACTTTACGACGTAGTCTTTCCAGTTCCGGACCCCACCATTGGTGTTTGTTCTGTGGTCCAGTTCTGGGTGTGGAAAGTGGGCATGTTTGTTCAAAGCTATCGATCAGTGTCTGTGTAAGGTTGACAACATGACTGTCAATGTCCTTAACAGTCCCCGTAGCATATGTTGGGTTGATGCTTCGCAGATTCTCCGCAGTAAGATGTTCATACCGTTTCCGGTCCATCGTGCGGGGATTCCGTCGGGGATCGGGTAGTTTAAGTTTCATTTCAAAGTTAAATTTGATCCAGCGATGGTCTGAGCACGATGCTTCGTTCGAAACATGCCAGTTCGATATGTGTTGCGATGCGTGCTCACTTGCTAAAGTAAGATCAATTATAGTTTGGGCCCTGGATGTGACAAATGTCGGCTCCGAGCCCACGTTGATAATGTTAAGGTTAGTTGATAATAGGAACGATACAAATTCCTCACCTCTCCGGTTGTTGCTCCTGCTGCCCCACAGCGCATGGTGCGCGTTGGTGTCGGCAGAGATGATCAGCTCCAGACCCTCACGCTCGCAGTGGTGTGCCAGCGCAGCCAGCTCCGGAGTGGGGATGTCAGCATCGCCCGGCAAGTAGGCTGATGCTATCACCACGTCAGGAAGGTTTGATGAGGGTTCCTTTAACCTAATAGAGGTAAGGTCTCTGGAACAGAACTCGGTCATTAAGGTAGTACACGCATGTTTTGGTGTATAAATACAAGTGCGCGGGTTATCAATGGTAGTGTTGAGAAGTATCTTACCTCCAATATTGTTTAGACCGCAGATCCTGCCCTTCCTAATCCACGGCTCCTGGATTAGGGCTACGGTGTTGGTTTTTACCTCCAGCTCTCTGCGTAGGTTAGCCGTTGCTGTATGGCTGTGCTGGAGGTTGGTTTGGATGGCTATAAGGGTGTTATGGGGGGGTGCAGACAGCGCCATCATCGCTGTTCAGCATGTCCTCTATGTCGTCGAGGTCACTCTCGCCCACCGGTAGGTCCTTCAACTCCTCAGGAGGTGGACCCCGGCAGGCTGTCTCCTCAACGGGCATCAGAGGATCCCCTCCATTGCCGTCCTTACGGTGTTGTGGGGCCGATTCTGGCTCCTCGTCTGGGTTAGTTGGTGGGGCGGGACGTTCATCGAGGAAGCGAACGTAGAGGTTACCCAGTTTGTAGTATACTCTACGCTCGCTAGCCTTGAGCTTCACGACGTCCTCTTCTGGGATGCCGAGCACTAGGAAGAGACATTTCTTTTCCTCCTGCGCCTCGGCATGGTAGAGGGCCCAGTTGGCCACATTGTACTGGCTATTCTGATACTTTAGCCTCGTTTGTATACGGACCAGTGTATCATCTGGTCCGATTTGTGGTACCAGGAGTCCAGCCTTGATCCTTCTCGGGATCTCAGACTGCCTCCTGACGACCAGTTTGGTGCCTTCACGTGGTGATGGGATCCTTACCAGGGATCGGCGAAGCCACTGTAGGGCATATTCGTCGTTGCACCACATCTTAAGGGCGCCCTCACTGTAGAAGGCCTTGCCCCTAAACTGTGGCGCAGCGACGGGTGCGCTTGACGTGCCGGGCGAGAAGATCTCCTCATCTAGCACGCCCTGCAGCTGGCCCTCGATGTCCTCTGCCTGTGCCTTGGTGAGGTCGTGGTAAGGCTCCAGCATGACCGCGACGCAAAGGTCATTCGCCTTTAGTGCGTCGGAGTAACTCGTGGAGCCGGTCTTTGGCAGCGGTTTGAATCGCTTGCCACTGCCCTGGGGAGTGCGAGACTCGTCCGGGCGAGTTCTTTTGACGGGCTTTGTTTCACTCGAAGGTTTCCCTCCACGTGTCGCTCGTCTTGCCCGTTTACCCTGTCCAGGTTGACCCTGCCTAGAGGGTACTTTGGCCGCTACAGGCGTCTTGGCAGGTGGCGCCCCCACAGGAGTACACTTCCCCGTGGCTTGACTTTCGTCTTCGCCTCGGGGCAGCACATCACTGGCGGGGGCAACGTGGGCCCCTTCGGGCCCTTCAGCGACTTCAAGCCGCTTACTTCCACCCGAGGTCAGACACCGTGCTTGCCTTTCCACTCGGGCTTTCGCCCTGTTGGCGTTACGGGTCTTCTTGGACGGGTTCGGTTTTTTTCGACGCTCTCTTCTTTGTCCTTACCAGGCTCCAGCCGGTTTCTTCCAGGCCGGGTCCCGCAGGTACGGGCATTGCTGCCCTCAAAGAGGAGAGGTCGATGGTCGACACTGGCTCCGTATTCTGGTTAGACACCAGAGGTGTCGCCAGAGTCGTGGATGGCGCTGCGGTCGGGTTGTTTGCCTGAGCAGCAGCCGAAGGTGTGTTTGCCGGATTCACCCTTGGGTTGTTCACCCTGGGGTCAGCCGGTTGGTGGTTTAGCCTGGCACTTGGGTTGTTCACCCTCGGTGCCGGCTTGGTGGTTTTTTTTGTACGTGTGTTTTTAGTATCCATGATGTGTTTGGTATACTATTCATCTCCTTGTCCTTCCACCCTCCTTGGAGCCCTCAAGTGGGGACGCCGCGGCAGAAGGCACACGACGCCAGAAGTAACAAGGAAATATAGAGCTCCCTCCCTGGCAGAAGGCAGGCCGAACTAGGTAGGAAGACTTGGTCGTCCCACCCGTCGTCCACCCCCACCAGGGAAGAGCTCTCGCCCAGCAGCCCTCTGACGGGATACTACAGCCGATTGACCAAAGGTGGCTAGCCTTCAGCCTCCCGTGTAAAGAGAAATCCAGGCCGAAGCAGTGTGTTGCCTTTCAGCTCAACTACCAGGATCCCTTCATCCTCCCTTACGGGTCCCCGCACACGGCACAAACATGCGGGTGGTTGCCCCCCCTCCCCCTCACTCTCAGTCTTTGTTGATAGTGAGGCCGCAGGCACCAACCACTTAGTGTCCGCAGTAGGTGTGGATGGGATAGGAAATGGGAAAGGATAGGTTTTGTGGGATGGAATTGCGTCTGGGTGTTTCTGTTATATCTGTTTCGTAGGGAATCAGACCTAAAACAGGCGGCAACCACGGGAAGGATGACACCCAGACTTGCCATGGGGATCTACACGACTGTTGCGCTCTCCCCCATGACCATTCGCCGTGCACGCCCTCCGGACAGGAGGGCGTACCAGGATTGGATCTGCTCCAGGCGATCTTGGCCTATTGGAGCACACCCAACCCCGCCCGGCCGCAGCGGTACGTCAGGCTTGTGTATCTTAGGCAGACCATATAATTTCGGTGGCTGGTGTGACTTTGGTTTGTACAGTCTGTTGTACTCGTCTTCTGAAAATAGGTCCTCATTGTCCCGGATTAGAGATCGTATTTTTCGCGTTACTCTGGCCGTGGGGTTGTATGTTACCGGTTTATAAACCTTATTATCACTCAACAGTTCAAGTATTTTGCTTTTGTAATCAGTTGTATTCATCACTACGGTAGCGTTTCCCTTGTCGGCCTTAAGCACTAAAATATCCTGGTTATCCCTAATGTTTTTTAGTGCTTAAACTTAAACGGCACGATACTCTCGTTCATCAGGGCATCACACGCCTTGTGAGAGTTGATTTTGTGATTATTTAAATTTATTTTGTTGATTATTTAAGCTACGAAACTATTTATGTTGTGTGAATCCTTCAAACCTAATTTTGTGTAAATAGGTTAGGTTATTCCCTTTTTCTTACGGCGTGGAATGCCTTAGTTTCAAATTAATCAGAAAATCTGAATATTATTTCAAACGTAAGTTGACATTCCACTACACTGTCACAGGCGTAGTTTAATAAAATATATATATATATGTACATACAAAACAAAACAACAAATCAGTATTGATATATTATTGCATTAAAATACAAAGCTGAATTAAGATATCTGTTTATTCCTTTTCATCTCTTTATTTACTTAAAGATTAAAAAGTTAATTTTAAAAGTTAGGTTAGTTATTTAAGTTAGAATTAAATGTTTTTCATTGTTTTATATAAGCTTTAAAACTTTTATAAAAGTTAATGTGTTACATAAACAGACAGGTCATCTGAAATTATTTCTTTAAGTGGAACTGCAGCTGAATATTTATTAGCGTTTTCACCAAACACATCCAGTGCTAAATCGACGATGGACCTTCCAAGGAGCTTAATGAGAGACTTCCAGTTTTCATTAAATATGTTGACAGCCACAGTACCTGATGCAAAAAAGAAATAAATACGTTATTATATCTTAAAATCTTCTTGACAAGTAGTTAACTTAATAGAAAGTAAAAGTCTAGTGTTGTAAAAATTTCAACAATATTATTAATAAACTAGGACCTATAAAAATGAATATATCGAATCACAAACCAATGAATTCATTGCTTATTTAAATATCTATTATACTATATATTTACCACATTGTTGTATGCTTTGAAAATTGTAGCACTAACTGACAACTATTGAATATACCCTTACATCACTTAGGTTATTTAAGAACTCACATTAATAAAACAAACACTACGAAAAAGCTTTTCGTTAAACTAACATTAAAAGGAACAATATAAACTGATTCTCATAGCATGAACATGTCATATATAAAATATATCGCAGTCCCCGACGAACAAAATCGTAATAGGAAAACAACAATTTTACAGGAGCAAATAAAAACTGAATATCTTGAATACTATCAAGACTAAAAAGAAGATTCTTTTATCAAAAATAAGGAAATATTTTTTTGCACTAGATTTTTACTAAATTTTTATCATAAATTTTCTTTATCAGTAAGAAAATTGTGAAAATGTCCATTACTGAAATAAGCTATGGAAAAAATTAACGCAAACTAACTTTACGATAGTGTTCGACTGTAATCACAAATCGGTGTTGCTGTAGTAATCGTTCATTATGATATTGTTCCATGGTAAATATGAATATACTTTATATTCGTAAAATGACATTGCAATCGTATTCGATGATATAACTGACTTTAATATTACGGTAAACATAAATTACATGCTTATTCGATGATCATTTTTAGGTGTTATAACCATTTCGGTACCTATGTATAAATTCTGATTCTGATTCTGTCATTTTTCCCTCCAACAATATGGTAATAGCCGCTTACTCTAAAATGTTGACTCTTGAGATTTGGTAATAGGTTTTTGCGTTATTGATCGTGTAAATTTTTCACTTATGTTATACGTTGAACAAAAACATAAAGATCATTATTGAATGGATAAATCCAAAAGTATTCATCGCCCGATCATAAAAAAAATTCAATGATTGTAATAGGGTGTGTAGATAACGAATATCTAATAAACCCGATTCTATCGTAATAGCGATTACCATAGTGTTCGTCGGGGACTGCGATATACTCGTATATGATTCTATCGATCAAATAAATCTAGAGGTACATATAAATTTATCCTCTTTCAAATTTCGTAGCAGTGACATTATATTAAGTAGTCATAATAATAACGATAGTAATTTCTGACAAATTGCACAGTGCTATCTGAAACTTCGCAAAACCTGCCGCAAACGTTTACTATGGAACCACCCCGTGGGTTTGGGGCCTTCTCCATTGCCCTCTATCTCATAACAAAAATCACATGTTTTTATCCTAAATAAATACTAGTAAAATACACACTAATATTGCAATAGAAACTAAAGCCGCACTGTAGTTGTCATCGGATTATCTCTTCTTACTTATTACCTTTAATTCTATTTTTACTGTACTGTACTATTACTTCTCAATAAGTATTTAATAGATTCCATAAGATAAATATGTATATGTATACTTACTAATATCTTGACTTCCTACATACAAGCTGTCAGCGTTCAGGGTAACTTTTCCTAACACTTCATAAGTGTACGTAATTCCTTTGTAATCAAATACAGCATGTACTTCATGATCTTCTGATTCCTTTACTTCAATAGGAATATCTAAGTTAATTTGTACGTTTTCTGATGAAAAAAAGTTTTAATAGTATATTGTTTCTATTTTCGAGAGGTCGCGCATAATTCTGTACTGAATTATAATGATGATAGATTTTTTAAATTATAAATATGCTATAATGTTAAGAAATGTAAATTTAAATCCTTAACCACCTTTTTTGTGCGGAAATTCACTCGGATACCACCCATCAATGTGGTGGTTATGTCGGACTCGAACCGACTAAAAACTGCACGCCGTCTTGGGTACCAGTAGCTGGGAACCAGGTGTACCCTAGAAAGGAAATCCCTGGTACCCCGACGTACCTTGGGCCATCTACGGATTGCAAATGACCCCCTGCTGTGTGGGAACCCAGATGTTCCCTTTATGCCCTCGAAAAGCGTGTCTAGCCGCCATCCCGGCCTGCTTCTGCTAGGGTGACAGATGGCCTCACCTTTCACCCCTAGGCTTGCGCTAATGGAGGTCGTTCTGCGCCCTACGGTGCCTGAGTCGCCTGCGACGGACGACGACGGTTGGGGAAAGTTTTAAAACATTAACTTCTCCATTAACTCCTGGGCAAGCATAACTAACTCGCAAGATGAAGAAGGAGCAGTTCCACGCGCTCTCGCACTGTATCATGGCCGCAATCATAGTACCGAACGAAAAATTTCCACTTCGATAGCCGCCACGAGGCCACGCCTCTGGTTCACCCACACCGGGCATTATACCAGCGTGTGGTGCGTCGTGTCCACGGTCTGGTCATCGCAGTGGTGGCACTCAGATGAGCAGACACATTAATCCTTAACCATCTTAACCGGCGGCGGCACCGGTATTTAGGTATAAGATTGTTTAGAGGAAACTGTACGTTGACTTTCCCATTCTCCCTTATGCGTTAGGCTCAGAATAGACGCCGAAGAATGATGCAGTGGATATCTTAAGTATTTCGAAAGATCGAAAAGTGATCGGACATAATAAGCTTTTAACCGACTCGAATCGAGACTCCTTAATTCGACTTCATTATTCGAGCATTGGTTTTACCACCGCGTGCACCGCTAAAATAGTTCAACTACAAAATAAGAAGGAAATGAATAAATACTTACCAATTTTCAAACTAGCTACACCTTTTCCGTGTATATCTATACCGCCTATGAAAACTTTAAGAACATCAGTAGGCTCAAGATTATATTTGCCTTCGATATTAATAGTCTCACAAACGTATTCAACAGATGAAATTTTATTTTCTAAGTCTAAACTGCAAGATAAAAAATCACTTTAGGATATATTTTTATAAAAATCTACTTTATAATATTTTATTTCTAACTTTACTTACTTAAAACGATTGCTGTGACAAGTTTTAAGACCTTTGACGGTTCCTTCTGGAATGTTAACTTTTATCAGTCCCAAAACAGTCACGTTCAAATTTTTGACGGCATATGGGTCTAGAATAGGTATGCCAATTTCTGGAATACCTGATTCTGCCGCTTTTTGAATAACATTTTGGTAATACGCACTTAAGCATTCACTGTCAGTAATGCCACAGTTCCCTTTCTTATAAACTGGAATAAAAAAATGAGCAAACAGTTAATAATGAAATTGTACGTACAAATTTAGATATTTTTCTTCAGCACAGCTAATTGAACATTTTTGATGGGCCTGTTGGTTTAGTGGTTAGTGATCCTGACTGCAAAGCCAGAGGTCGTGAGTTCGATTCTAATCCAGGACAATTATGGTGTAATGAGCGCGGTCATTTAGTTTGGGTCTGGGAGTAATTTATCTATAATAGGTATGTATTTAATGAGAAAAAATATCGTATTAATAAAGTATCGTAATGTCGGTTAAAAACATATAAGTATGTTTCTCAGCAGACTGGTTACTATCACCATATTAATATATATATATACCATATTAATATATATATATATTTAAAGTGTATAAATATTGCATTTTAGACTGAGTTTTCCATGAATTGAATTGAGATCATAAAAACACAAACTGTAAAATCTAGTTTCACCAAGTGCCGATAATCGAGGGTGTAAATTATACTCGTATATAACAAAGAAATCATGTCCGATTCCAACCGAGTAAAACTACACAGCGTATACAATGTCAGATCCTTTACTTCAGATGTAGTTTTATCATATTAACACATTACCTGATTACCTGCCCGCTTGTAAGTTAAACAAAACAATAGTACAAAAATATATTAACTTACACGAATAAGCTGATATGCTGTTGTTGGATATAAAACAAAGGAGAAATAACACAACAATTTGCCTAAACATTTTTCTTGCGTACTGTTTTACTTACGGTCTTAACAACGACTGACTCAGTTGTTTACCGAAACTGACATCCTTCTACAATTAATTAATTTACATCGTTTGGTTGTAAAGTTTTTTATTTTGTTTCCTACTCATTATTCAAATTAGTCTATTCTTATAGACGAGTAGAAAAATAAACTTAAACATTGTCTTAGAACAAACGAAACAGATGCAGTCGATCATCAGACCCACAACTGTTCTGATGTACGCATAATATACTCAAACGATGCAATAGTGGTTTCTGTAATGTTAGCTGCTGTGGAAGGGGTGGGTGGCTGTCTTAAAAACCTTTTTGAAACGAATGCTTCTCAGTGGCTTTTTGTTGGCAAACACAAGTGCGTCTTCTGCAACCTAGACTATCAAGTTTCTTATGCTGCCTGTTGGTACCATAACAAAATGTCTAGCAGCGGTTAAATTCATGCTTCGGAAACCTACCAACCAACGATAGATATAGATATCCTACCAACCAACTTTATAAGGACGCGGCATGTCTCACGGTTAGACAAATATATGTGTTGCGAGCTTGTCTCCTCCGACACAAAACCGTGCACATAACAGATGCAGCTTCCAAAAATATTGATAGAAGACCCAAACCTCCGTGTCCTAGTGTAAAATTCAGGACAGCCTTTGGTAGGAGAAACTACGAGTATCAAAGTGCAAATATGTACAACAAACTACATAAGATTTCAAATCTTCAACACCAGACAAAGTTCAAAGTCAAAATCAAAATTGAACAATTGTTACACTCTCTTGATTACCACACACACAGACACAGAAAACCTACTATAGTTTGCCAAGACAGACGTAGATATACATACTCACAGATAGACACGTACACTATCTTGCACACACACACACACTCACACTTACACACACACGCATACATACGCCCTATTTCATTGCCCAACCTAACCATGTTACATTTTCACGTAGAATAATTTAAGTTTACCTATAAAGCATTGTACAAAGCGGAACCACTGATTCCTAAAAAAATAGTAAATCCTAGTTTGAGGATCAGGGGACTCATATAATTGATTGCCTTATTACTCATTATAACTATTATTATTATTGTTAAATGTAGTCATTGTGTAATTTTCTGCTTATTATATGGTTAACTTTATTCAATAAATAATATTATTATTTATTATTTTTAATGGTCGGTGATTGGTAATCTAGACCAGCTTTGGTAATTCAAAGTAGTTTTTAAAGTAGCAGATTTAGAGATAAAGGTTACAAATAATAATTACTGTTCAATTCCACAAGATGCCTACGCAATCTTGACAAGGTATCTGATTTATATATTTTGGATAACAATAAGTAGCATGACATCAAATAATAATAAAAAAAAGCAGAACAATTAAAAAATGTGTTTACTTGTTTCGGTGACCACGCTTTGGTACGGCGGGTTTCATAAACTATTGACCTTTTTTAACGTTTTCAAAGAGGCTTTGCGAAACCCCAAAAGCAAAACAGTATCTATTTGAAAAAAAACCTAATTCATTAAAACTTAATTATTAACCGTAATGTTTTTTTTTTTATAGTCTATTTTAAATAATTTTTTTTTGTGCGGAAATCCCCTCGTATACCTCACACTGGTGGTTATGTCGTACTCGAACCGACCAAAAACCGCACGCGCTGTCTCGGGTACCAGTTGCCGGGGAACCAGGTGTACCCTAGGAAGAAAAAACCTGATACCGTTGGCGTATCAGGGTACGTTGGTACCTCGGGCCATCTCATTCGAAGCGCGTCTCGCCACCACCCCGGCCTGCTTCTGCTAGGGTGAGAGATGGCCTCAACTATTACCCCCCGGCCCGCGCTTCTGGAGGACGGAGGTCATTCTGCGACCTCCGGCGCCCGGCCCGTTGCCGGGCCTGGCGCTCCGGGAGAGTTCTAAACCTCTCCCGGTCTCGCTCCGCCATCTCCTTAATAAGCATAACTTGCTCGCAGAAGGAGACGGCGTAGTTCCACGAACTCTGGCTCCGTACCATGGCGGCAATCATGTTACCGAGCGAGAGAACTCCCACCCCGATGGCCGCTACGAGGCAACGCCTCTACTCCACCCACGCTGGGCATTCTGCCAGCGTATGCATCGCTGTGTCCACGGTTCGACCATGGCAGTGGTGCGACCCAACTCCCGCGCCTTCTTGCGCCACTGATACAGAGCCGCAAGGGCCCTCGCCTCCTGGTCCCACGGTGGAGTTCCGGCCAGGAGACTCAATTGAGATTGTGTGGTACCCCCTTATAACTCTGATGACCAGCACTCGCTGCGGTCGTCGCAGTAGTGCGACGTTACTGGCCTTTAGGGTCTCCACCCATACTGTGGTGCCATAAAGGGCCATAGACCGCAAAACCCCTAAGTAGAGTCTCCTGCAGGTGTCATCAGGTCCCCTCATGTTGGACAGCATCCGCGCCAATGCACGCGCTGCTCCAACCAACTTAGGGACCAGACCTCAGAAATGGTGTCCGAAGTCCCATCAGCTATCAAGTACGAGCCCCAGATACCTCATCGAGGGCTCGATGCCGATGGAAGTGCCTCCTACTATAAGGCTGGATCCCTCAGGTGGCTTCCTCCGAGGAACAAGGCCTCGGATTTGTGCAGTGCCACTTCAAGACTCAGCTCCGCTCCACGCTCCTTCAAGATCCGCTCCACGACTTAGGCAACCCCAGCCGTGGCTCTCAGGGTTGCCTCACGGTGCGTTCTGCCGCACGCCTTCACGAGCGTGTCATCCGCGTAGCACGTGACGGCGACACCATCCAGAAAAGCACCACGAAGAACCCAGTCCTAGCCGATGTTCCACAAGAGTGGCCCTAATACCGACCCCTGTGGGACACCGCACGGCATTTCACGTCTACCGAGACCAGGCCTACTTGGGTAGACGACGTCTCTCTCTGGTAAAAATGCCCCGACTATGCGGCGGAGGTAGAGAGGCACTTCGTGATACACGAGCGCCTCCCTGATGCAACGCCAGGGCAAAGTGTTGAACGCATTGGTGATGTCCAAGGACACCGCCAACATCACTTCGCAGTCTATTTCACTTTATATTTATTTAACCTGACATGTTTATTTAAAACATGTTAATTATTTTTTTCCCCAAAACACAAAATGTTTTCTTAAAGTAACCTTCAAATCAAACAAACAATACGTAATAAATAAAAGTTTATATATTCAACCTTTATAAAATTGTTTTAATGTCTATAGCTAAAATAATCGCATACATTATTATGTATAAGATTATTTTACACGCTTTGTATTAGCTTCACTTGTATGTTTGTTTGTATGTTTGTAACCGATTCATTTGGGCGTGATTTTGACTGACTTTAAACGGTCAGAATTCGTTCAAACTTTGTAGATATATTGAGGACCGATGACAATACACTAATTTAAAAAAAAAAAGAGTTGCAAAACTAACAAACACGCTTTCTATAGAAAACCATACCTAAAAAATTAATTCCGATTCCGACACACCACACTGTTCCTTAGAGAAGTTGGCTGTTTCCTTAGAGAATAGCACTTCAGGTGACCAGTCTGTCTGACATCTGGATATTAGTCCGGTCACAAGAGCACAAACTGACAAGTTTTTAAAAGTGACGTCAATTTTAAATTACGATTGTTAATTTTTTTTTAGTTTTTCGCATAAGTCGTGGTCGTTCGTACATTCACACTAATTGTCAGTTGTCAAAATTTAATTAGCTAATTAGTATTATATACATACATTTATTAATGTAATTGTTGAAAAAAAATCTTGTTTTGACATGTGGACGACGGTTCTGCTTAAGCACTTGTTAACGGTTTGTTTTGCTATCTTTTTTATGTTAAATTTCAGTACTATGAAGAATTGTGAGATTTCTAAAAATATAAAAAGAAATTATTAAAGTAAGTCATGTTCAGTCAGTTCAAGTAACGTTAGCGTTACCTACTACTGATTTATTTTAGGAATAAACAATATTTTACAGTATTAGTAGTATTTAGTTTTGCCATCCTAAACCAAAACGTTTTTCTCTTAAAAGCAGGCTTTAAAAATTGTTATCTAATCAATTCCCAATCTATTATTTCAATACAAAAAAAAAACCGACGAATTGAGAACTCCTTTTTTGAAGTCGGTTAAAAAGTGGATATCTCCTTTGTTATGATGTCAGTTATAAAAAAATTAAGTGAAATCCAGTTCAGGACACAATATAATACTATCAGTATCCGCTATCATCCTTTTAAAAGTTATATAACTTAAAGATTATCTTTTTCCATCTTTTATATCTTTTTTTTATCATGAAGTTTCAGGTTCCTTTTACTACGGAGAATTAATTTGAAACCATCGAAAAATCTGAGTCAAAAGCAAACAAAAGATTTTAATCATGTAAACATACATAAACATCTACATTTCCTCCTACTCAGAGAAGTCCGAATTGTTCTTTACGTTCTTTTGAGTTATTTAGGAAGTTTTCTTTCTTTTAGTATTGTGGTTTATTGAGTAATATTGTGTATTTAATGTGGTATTAATAAAATAAAATAAAACACTACTCTACATATTTGGTGTTTAGTTAAAGATTTTAGGAAATTCATATAGGACTTTCACACTGGTGAGACCGTCCGTGACTGCGGCCAGTGTAGCCTGGTCGAAACGTCAGGCTCAAAATGTTTTAAATAGTATAAATTATAGATACTGTTCCAAAAACTTTATCCATACTTAAAACGTGTCTTACATTTATACCAGAATTATTTACAGACATATTTTGCAATATTTTTTTTTAAAGAATTTGTTTATTAGCCTTCATACCTTGAATTGTTCTCATAATTGTTTTACTAATTTTTTAATTATCTGTATGTGGCCGTAGAGACACCGATGATGCAGAACGCAGTGGACGTCCAAATGAGGTGGTAACATCAGAAAACATAAAAAAAATCCACAAAATCGTTTTGAATGATCGAAAAGTGAAGTTGCGTGAGTTAAGTGACATCGTAAAGATAT